CCCCAAAACCCCAAAACCCCAAAACCCCGTAGAAGTAAATTAAAAAAATCAAAAGATTATTATAGTTTGAAATCAGTAATCTGAGTAATTAGAGATTAACAGAAATTAAGATAATTAGTAAACACTATTTTCAAGCTCTTGCAGCAAGATCTTTCTTCTTGAGCTGTTGGCCAACATTGATTCTTTCCACAGGTTTGAGGATGAAATACACAAGACTTATGAAAAACCAACCAGTCAAAACATAGATAAACACATTATGTCTCAAAAAGTATTGGTAGAAGTTCATATTCTTTATCTAGACTGAGAAAATCATGCTTATGCTAGTCTGTCTAACATAATCTTTGAACATGTCTGTAAGGAACTAAATCAGTGAGAACATCCAAATGTTCATAATCAAAGCATTGAAGATAAAAGAATTAACAAATGTCTCATTAGGCCTAAATAAAAATTAGGGAAAAAAATTCCTTACATCAAGGGGTAAAAAGTAAAACAGAAGCATCTCATTCCTATTCTCACGTTACCCTTTATAGCAGCAAACATGAAGTAATACCCAATGAAGGCAAAGAGAACTGTGGAAAACACGCTTGCCTTCGAGTTCTCAAGTGACTCCAGCAAGTTATTGATGAAAGGATGCACTGGTCTGTCATTGATATTCAGAAGTAGATAGATGAACAAATGTATCACGAAAATGAGAGAAATCACTATTGAACACATTCCTAATAACAATTTGAAGTAATAGAGCAAAGGCTCAACTTTATTCCTAAACTGAGCTGTATTGTCTAGTCTCTAGAATTCCTTTTCTGCCAGAATACAGTTTGCCTCGAACTCGTTTTGTCTCCTACCAACTGCTCTTCTTTCTCTCCATCCACCAACTGTAATTATTATAATGAAAGCTTTGACTTACATCCACTCATTGAATCTGATCTCTGCTTATCTTCAAGCAAGGACTTGCCGATTTGAAGAAGACGCTCAACTTTCTTTGCTAATTCATGCTTACAGTTATTGAATTCTTGTTCATTCATGGGCTAAGGTCTAAATCTGAACTAGTTGATCAGATCAATTGGAAGAGCTGACAATCCAGACCCCAAAAAGAAGATTAGGAAAAACCATCCGAACCAGCAGGTGATTCCAATTAGGTATATTGGAAATGATACAGTAATCTAAAGTTGCTCATCTGTTCTCACACATCCAGAGGTACTTGAATTGATCTCAGCCAAAAAGAATTGAGAAGAGTCTGTGAAAGTGAATCTGCAAGTGTTGGCCACCAATGGCAGCTGAGCGTATCTGAGTCCCGCAAATGATCCAAACAAAATGATACTGACAATCACAATTAGCAGAATCTCATACTTTAAAGCAGTCCAGAGTCTGAGTTTCTAAAAGGAAAATTTTAGCTCAGTCATTATAGCCAAAGAAATTGAAAACTTACAAATGTTTTGTCCTCATCTGATTCATAGAAAAATAAGGCGAAAGGTAAAATTATGATGATAAAAAAGGCTGCAGTCATATAGATGATGTACCAAAATATTTTCATGTCAACATTTGTACCATTCCTGAAATTAGACACGTCTAAGGGCAACAATAGAATCTAGCACTCAGCGCAAACAAATGCGACTACCTTGAAATCTCGTAAGAAATAGAATATACAATAAGTGCCTTGCAAGCTGTGGAGGAACCGAATGAGGAGTCAGCTGGGTGAGCGTATTTTGCAACAAAATATATATTTCCCACAACCAAAAGGATAGTCATGACGAGGGTGACTGTCAAAAGAAAGGGATCTACAAATGCCATGATGGTGATTATAGTTTATATTTCAAATTATTCAATTATAGCTTCAAATTATTCTTTTATTTGCTAGAAGGGGTTTTGGGGTTTTGGGGTTTTGGGGAATATATATAT